TAGGCCAGTCATCTTAGACAATAAAAAAGGCAAACATCGCAAAAAATGCGGTAATTCTGAATATTTGTCAGGTTGTTAGAGTCGATAAGACTAGTGTGAATCTAAGTTTGCAGCTTCGAAAGACTTGTGCTAACTTCAGGGTGGTCGAAAACTCTCGAAATTTTCGGACTTCTCGTGGTTTTTCGTTTATAACATTCATACGGTACATCCTAGCGTTGTAGTTTAGAATAACACTTTTAAAATAGACAAAATTTGATACAATTTGAGTCCAACCGGAGCTCTATAGGTCTAATAGATCCCAAGTTACGCTCATTCAAATGTTGGTAATTTTTTTTAAAAAGTGCAAATTTTAAGTTTTGGTCATCTTGCGTGCAAAATACCGGCTAAAGGAGTTATCCTACGAAGAAGTCATGAGAAAAGGAAATCAGGGAAATCGTGACCAGCTACATCAGGTATACATTCAAGCATATTGGAAAAAATGTGGCAGTGGTGTTTGACGGTTACCCTCAGGATGGTGAAGGAAGAAGCACAAAAACCGCTGAGCGAGTACGCCGGTATGCAGCCTCTCCTTGTGCCGACATTTTACTTGAGCAGTCCACCCTAATAAAGACGCCACAGGAGAAAATGTTGTCAAATGAAAACAACAAGCGCCGCTTGATCGACTTCCTCTGCTCTGGATTCGAAAGTGAGGGTATACAAATCAAGCGCGATGTGGAAGACGATTGTACCATAGTACGCACAGCATTGCAAAAGAGCAGTTCATATGACAACGTCATCATAGTTGGGGAAGATGTGGATCTTCTCGTTCTTTTGAATGCCTTGGGTTCCACTGTTAACAACGTTTTCTTTCAAAAAAGTGGTAGGGGTGACTGCGGCTGCCAGCAGTTTTGTTCAACATCATTCAATCGTGGCGGCGTGCCTTTTCCTCCCGGATTGGTACTGGTCATACATGCCTTAACTGGTTGTGATACAACCTCTGCCATTTTTTGGCAGGGCAAGACAAAGCTACTCGGCACATTCGAGAAAAATTCTCACCTCATTTCAGTAGCCAGTACCTTCCTGAACACACAAGCCACCCACATTGAGGTAGCCACAGCTGGTGCCAAGTGCCTGATCGCGATGTATGGGGGAGGAGCCAGCGATGACCTTCACACCCTCCGCTGCAAAACCTTCGTTCGCAGAGCTGCGAACGCCAAGGTCAACCTTGCTCGTTTGCCACCCACTGAAGACGCAGCTGCTCATCACGCGTACCGCATGTACCATCAGGTGCAGACGTGGTTGGGAGCAGACAAAGACCCAACCGTCTGGGGCTGGACCAGAGATCATCAAGGGCTACTTCCTGTAGCTTCCACGAAGCCTCCTGCATCCACTTCTCTTCTTCAGTTCGTATCCTGCAGGTACCGGAAAGGCTGTAGAGGGGGAGCGTGTTGTTGTATAAAAGCAGGGCTCAAATGCTCTGCTCTCTGCAAGGCATGCCAAGGTTCAAGCTGTCAGAACGCCCCAGTCGTTATGATAGATGACTCGGAGGAGGAGGAAGATGACGCCAATCCAGAAGCCGGATATATGTCCCAATCCTCACCCCAGGAGCCCTCAATTGCACCTGAGCGTGAGCCACAACCTGGACCTAGCACGAGGCGCAGAATGTAGTCCCCTTCCCTCGCCTTTTTCTTTTTGTATTTACGAATAATTTCTATAATAATAAAATTTGGTTGGGAAAATGTCAAATTTTATCTCTAGTAGGGGAGCTAGCACGAAATCCACTGAACGAGAATGATCAAAATTTTAACCGACGGAGTTCCATTTTGCCCTATCAGAGTATGCTAAAATCGATCGTCTGCCGCCTCAGGTCATATGACTTAAGGCGCTGCGGGTACTTCTTGTGGTACCAATTCTGAAAGGTTGCTTTCGAGAAAATAAGTTATACACCAAATGAAAACGTTGATAATAGCTCTTAAAAAAATATTTAAAAAAATCGCGCACATTTGATAACTCCGTAAAAAAGCAATCATTAGTCGGTTTTTCACGAACTTTCTACGGATATAACTAGGTTACCGTTGGAAGAATGAAGCTGATTTTTTTACAGACTAATGATAGGTACAGCCAATGACTATGAGAGTGTTTCTTTTTTAAATTTTTTCTCTAATTATAAGATATCTTATTAAGATAATCTTATAATTAGAGAAAAAATTTAAAAACGAAACACCGTTAAGTCATTAGTAGTACCTATCATCAGTCTGTAAAAAAATCAGCTTCATTCGTCCAACCGTAACCTAGTTATATCCGTAGAAAGTTCGTGAAAAACCGACTAAGAATTGTTTTTTTACGGAGTTATCAAATGTGCGCGATTTTTTTAAATATTTTTTTAAGAGCTATTATCAACGTTTTCATTTGGTGTATAACTTATTTTTTCGAAAAACAACCTTTTAGAATTGGTACCACAAGAAGTACCCGCAGCGCCTTAAGTCGTATGACCTGAGGCGGCAGACGATCGATTTTAGCATTCTCTGATAGGGCAAAATGGAACACCATCGGTTAAAATTTTGATCATTCTCGTTCAGTGGATTTCGTGTTAGCTCCCCTACTATCCTGTGTATTGAATATCTTCTAAATGAACAGGCAGATCGTAGGGCTCCCAAAGTTTAAAATTCTATTTTCCCTTATTTTCGTTTTTTCAAGATAACTGGTGAACTATGGAAGCTACAGGCCTCTTTCTGCGCTTAAAATGAATCTAATTAAATGTACTACAACTCCCTTTCTCATGACTTCTTCGTAGGATGACTCCTTGAGCCGGTATTTTGCACGCGAGATGACCAAAACTTAAAATTTGCACTTTTTGAAAAAAATGACCCAACATTTGAATAAGCGTAACTTGGGATCTATTAGACCTACAGAGCTCCGGTTGGACTGAAATTGTAGCAAATTTTGTCTACTCTAAAAGTGTTATTCCAAACTACAACGCTAGGATGTACCGTTTCAAAGTTATAAGGGAAAAACCGCGAGAAGTCCGAAAATTTCGAGAGTTTTCGACCACCCTGAAGTTAGCACAGGTCTTTCGAAGCTGCAAACTTAGATTCACACTAGTCTTATCGACCCTAACAACCTGCCAAATATTCAGAATTACCGGATTTTTTGCGACCTTAGATGTTTATTAAAATGACTGGCCTATCTCGGAAGTACGAAATAGTTATTTGTATACTTAGGCCGCGAAGTCATTCTTTAACGTACCGAAAAGAAGATTGACGCCGAGGCCGCTTGCGGCCGAGGCAAGGCAACTTTGAGGGCGTTAAAGAATGACACGGCCGTGGGTATACACAACATTTTTTGTGCAATTGCGTAGAATCGTCAATAATAAAAATGAGATTTCAAAAATAATAATTTTCTTCGCAAATAGAAAGACGGCCAGTTTTCATTTTACCATGGAAATGAGATAAACAATGAATAATTTTTCGTGAAAGAAAAGTCAAAATGTGTGACTCCGAAAGTGATTCTTCGATATCCGGAACTCCTCCGGAAATACAACTTGTCGTGAATTCTGCTGTGTTGCAGTTATGAGTTAGTACCTGAAAAATCGAAGCGGCAGTACGAAAAATGCTACAAGGACTTCAAGTGTACCTGTCAGTTTGAGTTCTAATGAAAATCAAAATGTTACAGTTTCAAAGTATAATGCTTCTAACACTTTAGACTTTATTTCAGGAGTAAGTATAAGTAACAATACGAACTGTAGGCTTAATATTAACATTTATCCAAAAGATTTGTAATTGCCTACATGCTGATTGTCAAAATATATGTGACATTGTCTTACTTTAACGGCCGTCGCTATGACAGCGGCCGCGAAAGTGAATTTCGCGGCCGCCATGGCGAACGCGAAGTTGTTGTTTCGCGTCCAATTGCACAAAACATATATTATTTTATCAACAAAGTATTTTAAAACCACAAAGTAAACAGAGCATTCATTTAAATTTTAAGTAAGCTTGACAGTTTGATGTGATGGTATTTTAGGCGCTTAAGTTGTCACTTTTGTTTCGTATGATAATTATTGTACTCTTTCTCTAACAACAAACCAAAAATTTACACCCTTAATTAATCTCAGAGCCAGGTAACCAAAAACGACCGTTATGAATGAATCGTTTTGGCTTACTTACTAAAATTTAATAGATTTATCAGTCAAAGTCGTTGTGTCTATCCAGGAAAAAAAGTTGTCCTCCCCTTTTCAGTATTATCCAAGTTGGTTTAAATCGATTAAAGTTTATAGTGGTCAAATCAGAAAAACACTCACCTAAAACCAAGATGTTGCTACCAATGGGCAATAAAACGGATATTTTGGCTCTCAGATTGATGTTTAGTCAATAGAACTAATTTTTAAATGATTTAAAAAATACAACAAAAATTTAATTTTTTCCAAAATCTGTTGAATATATTGATACTTGATACTTTGACATATGCCTGATGTCGCCGCCTCTCCCAGGATTTAGTCAACTGTTGTGGGGATGCGTCGCTGGTAAGCACTATCAGGGGCGTTTCACCACTGCTTTGTTGCCATCGCGCTGAGCCGCAATATATGCGAAACATTGTGGTGGATTTTCAATATTGATTATTTTAAATTTCATTAATGTTATATTTTTGGAAAGAGAATTTAATATCAGCATCTTTTTAGAATAATATCAATAGGGTGTTCCGCTAACAAAATGAGGTTAGGTGCGGTGACTTTTTTACGTCACCCCGTATACGAAAACTGCAAATTGTTCAACAATCATTATTGAGAAACTTTCATAATAAACATTTTTCTGTATATCTTTTAACTAAGAAAATATACGATCATTTTGACATTTGATT